CATATTACAAAAATGCGTTAATAAAAACACGCATATTTTACCATGTACCTTGATAATAAACAACAATAACATAACAAATCTGTCAACAAGTACCAAGGGTCAATACTATAAATAGAGCCCCCTTTACATGATACAACCAGTCTGCTAACATCATTCTAGCCCGTCATATACCTTTTACACTGACTTATTAAGTCAATCGATATACTCTCCATTCACGGATCATTGCTGCTTGGTTGACGGAAATTGTTACTGTTACAATTTTCTTACAAATTAAAAASTGCACGTTTGCAGAGCGCAAAACGCAAACAGTTTGAATAATACTGTTTTAGAATTTTGTGTAAAATAAAAACAAGCGTGATATCTAAAAACGAGTTTTTTTTCAATTATTAGAATAAGTGTTTTACATTATAAGGGTTAAAATTATAAGAGTTTTATACAAAGTTAACAATTTTCTAACATCAGCCCTTAATGGATTAAAAGTTACTATTCGAATAAACTGGATAAAATCGACCATTTACTCAAAGAAAATAACAGTTATGCACCGGCATAACTTCTACGAGTCTGGTGGTTAGCTACCATCTAGTTGAAAGTACAATTATCAGTTTATGGCATTCTTAAACACATTAAAAAGTCAAGTTAATATTGTCAACCTTTCAATCGGGGAATTGTGAAAGGAGGATGCATACCCTGTACGATTGATGAAGACGATGGATACAAAATTCGTGACGGCTGTGGCATGTGTGCTGTTCAATGAGGCGACCGGAGGACGATTAACGTCTTCCTCTACCCAAGACACGGTGGTCATTTCGACGGTCAACACCGAAAAGTTCAATATAGGCGCCATCCAAGCAGTAAGCCTGATATTTAAAGGCATACATAACAGGAGCTTCATAATAGATTTCGAGTGACATCGATTATGGATTTTCTCTATTAAAAGTTATTACTATTATAATTATTTTTAATAAAAACATTTACAAATACATTATTATTTATATTTTAAACCGACACTATAATAATTTTTTAATCGATTGAAACGAATGGTATACATTTAACAAGTTGTATAATATTAATAGTTTCGTCGTAATAAGAGGCTTTAAAAAAATATATTTATGTTTATAATGTGTATTATATTGATTTAATAAAATGAATCATATTTATTTTATGTGTGTATGAATATAAATATGAATTATAAGTAGTATAAATAATTTATTTTTACCCGTACCACTCCACTCGCCAATCTAAAATTTAAATACCTATAACTCATAAACTACTAGCGCTAAATTCGAAATTTTAACGTAATAATTAATCAAAAAAATAGCTTTATTAATTTATGAAATTTTAAGTATAGGTTACTATTTGACAAGGCTGGGCAAGTTAATGATTTTTTTTTAAGTCAGTTAAGTTAAGTTAAATTAAAATCTAAATCAAGTTAATAGTTAAAAGTTAATTCAAAATGTTCTATCAATTGAATTAAGTTAAGAGTTAACCAAAATTTAATATTAACTTTTTAACTCAAGTTAAGTTTAAAAAAGTTTCTTGTTTTCTTACAGGTAAAATTAAAATAATCGGTACCTAAAATTGTTCATGTTATTAGACCAAAGAACTTTTACTATGTTATGTGTGCAAAAGCTAACAGTACACATTTTGTTAGCATACTTATAAGTTATAACCTTATAAAATGTGTACCTACCAGAAATTTGTATTCCTACAATAGTTCACAAAATTAAATTWAATTAACTTAACTTGTTTAAATGTAAAATTAACTCAAGTTAATTAAAAGTTAATTCAAAAGCTCCTAAAGTTATTAATTAAGTTAATAAACATAAAAAAATAACTTATTAAGTTAAAAAGTTAAATTAATTTAACTTTAACTTATAAACGCGTTAATGCCCAGCCTTGCTATTTGAAAATCAAAAGTTGAAAGTGGTTTATCTAATAAATATAAGGGTGAAAAATATAAAAAAAGATTTTGTGCACAATGCTGCCAATAGCTATAAAAATAAAATGAAGTAGTAATCATAGAGTAATATTTCTTTATTATTATTATGTTAAAATTCSATTGTCATATTATATTAGTATTACTTTATTGTAATAACAAAATAACATATTATGTCTTGTTGCTTAATTTTATTTTTATCTTATTTTTATTTTCAAATAAAACTTTATGTTCTAATTGAAAAGAAATGTTTATTTTGGTCATATATTTTTACGTTACAATTTATTATTACCTATACATTTAATTTGTTGCAAGTTAAGTCATTTTAATAATAACAATAAACAATTCTATAATTTGTTCATAAATTTAAAATAGGTGTTTTAAATACCAATGTAATAAATAAAGATATTATCATTCCAATTTTGTGTTGTTATTTTAATATAAGAGTGAATTTACATATTATTAAACTTAA